ATAATTAATTGCATTGTATATGGACAGCTAAAATATAACAACATATTTTCCATCATCGATATTTTGAGTTGTAATTTCAATTGTAATGTAAATGTATAAACTTTCTGTAATTATTTCTGTAAATATATTATATGTATTTTTTTTGTTTTATTCAACGATGCAGCTTCTATACCTCGAACAATTTTTATTAAAAAAACTATCAACCCGTTGATTAAAAAAAAATCAATCAATAACGCTCCATTTAAACACGTGACATGTTATCCAAATAAAAAAAATTGTATCCGAAGCTCAGACCAGACAATCTCAAACAGAATGTGATAATTTCGCAGTAATTTTTTTCAACTACACGTCGAGAAAAAGTAAGTAACAATTACCTATCCGTTTGATAACTGCGTTGTTTCAGCCGTCAGGGGAAAATTACCGTACCACTCAATAAAATTTGTCGACTGCCTAATAAAAGTTATCTAACCATTAAAAAAAAAATCGTAACTCCCGATTTTTCCCGAACAGCTCTCCCGATTTATCCCGAACAGATAACCATTACTGAGCAGTTATCAAATTTTCTTCCAACGGCTGAATTTTTACTGAATTTTCCTCTCCATGTTGACCTCAGAAATGAAAGCAAAAGCCGTCGTATGATAATTTTATTTGACAATAAAGTCAACCAGATTTAGGGTGAGATCTCGCTAATTTTTCATTAATTCTTTAAAAAAATGCCCCGACGAATGTTTTCTAGAAGTGGTAAAACGAGTTAGATGCCGACATGTTGCGTGATACCCCCAAGAAATGGACAAACGTGACACGCGTGTGCGTGCCCATCCTACGGGATAAACGGTACATATACGCCACCATTAATAACATTATGCGCGTATATAAGACGTCAGTCGTGAGTACGAGGCGGACGCGTTTGGATTATTAAATTGGTTTGCTTGTATACTCATTTAAATTGAGGGATTTTACAGAAGGCATGTGGTATATTAACAGTGATCCGACGGTCACGCAGGGTACCTATTATGGAATATTTTTTTTTTTCTACACACGATGAGAATTAAAATAAAAATACCCCAGTATCCAGTGAATATACCAGCAATTACCAGGGTTATATTAAAAACCCGTTTCTTTTTTCGTTTTATTTTGCCTCGCAAATATGAGATATTTAAATTAAAATCACCATAAACATGAAATAAAAGTCCAAGAGAGTGAATGAAATGAGCCAACTCCTTGAGACCTGTAATAAAAACCGAGAATTTCTACGACTGGAGCTCTTGATCATCTGTTGATGTACGAGAATCTAATGTCGGTCAGCCACGCGAACCTATCATAACCCCTGGGCCCTATACCCATCCCCCTCTCTTTTACACCCCCTCTTTAACCCTCTCTGACTACTATCCACCACCCTCTGCCCCCCCTGTCCTAATGACACGGTTGCTTCTGTTGTAACTGTCTTCCCTGTGCGGATGCAACTCAATTTGCATTTGTACGCATGTTAATAACAACTAGCAAACGGTGATAAAGAATTTTACTGGGGAATTGGCAATGAATTAATGGGGCAGTGATGATTATAGGTCTCGGGGATCAATTCAGTGTGGGATAACTTTCCCACCGGGGCTGATAAGTTGTCCGTGACGGGTGGACCATGTACGCATGACTCTTTGTCGCAGTTCAGACGAGGGGGATTTTATTTTTTTTTTTTTTAGGGGACCTTTCTCCTCCACCTTCGTCTTGTTAAGGAATCACTGGGACACGTCCACTCTCCTGGTGCACTCCTATCTTTCTCGCACTCACATCTGCCACGATATTCACAACAAAATGGTATCACTATTTCATTGGTAATGCGATACCCCCGGGCATCCATGGGGAATCCATTTTATTTTATTTATTTGTCGACATTTTTTTCTGTGATTTTTTCAATTATTTGGTTATTAGGTCGTGGTGGAAATTTACATCTTCATTTCTCGAACTGGTGTTTAGGTTTTTTATTATGTATTTTTTTTATTATATAGATAATTACTGGTGGGTAATTGCAATGGAAATTTCCAGAGAAAAAACTTGGAATTTTTTATAATCAAGGGATGGTGCATTTTTGGGGAATTCCTCGGGAAGTGTCTGATAATTTTTTTCCCCTTCATTTTAATTCTATGCGAAATTCAGGGTTTCATTGAAAAATTAATTATCATTTTATATGAAAGAACCGTTTTATCTAATTTTCTGGATAAATGGATGGTTTTGTGATTAAAATTTTTATAAATTTTTCACAGTACCTCAAAATTCAAGCTTCATTCAACTTTTCGTGATAATTGTAATATAATCTCAAATCTATTCTCTCCTTTTCAATCGAATAGAATATCACTTTAAATGATTAAAATAATAAATAAGTAAGTAAATTATTTATAAAAAATGAAAAGGCAACGACCTACTACCGCTCTTATTCCCGGAAAATTAACAATCTGTAATTAAATTTAAAAAAAAGACAACTTACATAAATCAAGAGAATGAAAATCCCTGAAATCTTTTCCATAAATCCAGAGTGAAATTTTTACCGACTATTACGAAATTTTCCCATGACCTTGCATAATTTTTATACTATCATATTATTCCCTTGAAGAAAAAATAAGTATATGTCCCCTATATATTTTTCGCTAGATACCTAGCTACTTTGCGCCTATATACCGTCATCAAGGTGCCAAATAAAAATTCCAATACCCAATGAGTATAAAATGATCTCCTCTCTGATTTTCTCGTGGTATCCCCCAAGTCTCCACCTCCCCCATCAATCCCCCATGGTTATTACCCCCTCACCACACCCGGTGTTAATTCGCCGTCGTTACATGACGCCCCCTCCTAGTCCAATTCCTGTTTCCAGTGCTCCCCCCTGTCCCCCTCGCGGTACATAAAACCGCGATACATATTAAAACCAAAGAAATACGAAAATTACCGTGAGGACACGATTCTGGTGGTCCTGGTTGTTGGGCTTAAACCTGAAATTAGTATACCCCATAACCAAACAACCAACACCGTGATCGTGTTGTTCCCATGTTATTCAAATTCCCCCCAGCCCACACTCCAGCGAAAGCCCAACAAAACCGAGAAATAATAACAAGAAAAAGCCAACTCATTAGCGATAGGCGATAATTCCATCTAATTTATTCAATCCGAAGAGGTGAGAAAAAACGACTACTCGATCATAAAAAAAATAGAGAGGTGATACGAGCGATGGAATTACATAAAGAACTGATGAATCATTAATTGGACTCAATCAATTTTATTGGTCGGTTGTATTTGGTCAGAGTTGAGACATTGATGGGACTTTTATGATGTCGAATATATGTCCTGGGGTGGGTAACGAAGAGGCAGAATGATAAGCTGCCGAAAATAAAAAATAAAAATGTTGAAGAATAAAAAGATTTGGAAGATGAGAGGATGAGAGGATGTAGAGGATGTGGGGGATGTGGGGGATGAGGAAGAAGAGGAGGATGAGGAGGATGAAGAGGATGGAGGGGATGAGGAGGATGAGGAGGATGAGGAGGATGAGGACGATGAGGAGGATGAGGAAGAGTACGAGGACCAAGAACATTTGTCAGGCACTTTAGGGCCCGTTTCGTACCCGTTGTATTGTTTTCGTCTCCATTCCCAACTAGAAAGCACGAATTTAACTGGTGTTTTACACGCGCAATTCCTGGAACGTGGGTCTTCTCCACAACCCTGGGGCCATCGCCATATCCCCAAAGCTAGTTTTCAAGTCAGGTATAATACACGTGTATACGTTTGGTGTCTTCCCTCCTCGTTCAGCTTACCCATCAGGAATCTCTTCCTTGTATTTTCTCCTTGTGGTGCTGTCTTTCTTTGACTTGGGCCTTGCAAATGCCAATTGGTTCTTCATCTCGCTTCGGTACCACTGGGGAACCCGCCTTGTACCCTTCGGGGGCCCCCACTGTTGGCCATTTCGCCTGTCAGGCCCAATTTGTTGGGGCTCAGGGACGTTGTGTGCTATGTTACAGTTTATTGCCGTCATTACCCTACGATCGTTTTCAAGTGGAATTAAACGATTTGCACGTTGGTCAACTATTTTATCACGTATTTTAGATAAATTCCTCGGACTTGTGGGCATTCAGGGACTTACGTCGAGTTCATTTTGACGAGTCTGAGGCGGTGATAATTATCTCGGGGCCCCATCGGAGATTTTTTATTTTTTCATCGTATATGCAACTTTGGAGAGTGTGGGAAAATTACACTGGAAATTTCCATTTTTTTTATTTTAATTTTTAATAATGAGAAAGTGAAATGGAATTGGAGTGAAGTGGAATTTTTTGGTCCATCTTGCACTGAAGTACCATAAAAATTCTACTAATCCGACCAATTCCCCTCAGTTGTCGATCTATTGAAGATTCAATTGTATTTTATGTTGAATTTTCAAGATAAATAATAAATTGTGTGGTAATTTCTCATCAAAATTGATTTCAATCTCGTGTAATTAAAAATTGAGAAAATTGAAGCATTTAAGAACAAGCTGAAATGCAAAGAAAAAAAAAACAAAACCAGTCATAAATTCCTGAATGATTCGAGCACGAATGATTGCCAAAGTCATGAATTCGTCAAACAACAGTCTTTTCGCATGCAATTTATAAAATAAAAATATATATTCACCCAGACAAATAGTGAATTTTACGGGGAGTCAGTCTCAGAATGCAAAAGTGCACCAGAAAAACAAATAAAAATAAAAACTTATCCACGTTGAATTCCCGGGTGTGCGATTGTGTGCAGAATAAGCTCAAACTGAGAGGGTAATTTGCAACACATGCAATTTACATAATTAGCAGTTCCAAAAGCCAAGGAGATGCCTCTCCCGGCGCGATCCATAATACGCCCTCTCTTTCATCCTCAGTACGAACCTGCAACTGCCTCCGAGGTGATTCAGGGTGCATCGAGGTATAACAACCTCGACGAGGGCATAAATTAATTGATCAAAACACCATTTCTTCGATTCATCATTTTTTGTTGATATAATTTATTTCCTCCTCACTCCTCACTCCGAGTTTGTTACTCTTTTTTATCTCATCAATATCGCAAAGGGAACACGAGTCATTTCCATTAATCTCGATCGTCCGTACAATATATTTCTCATATTCATTTACCGTCGAGGTTAAAATCACAATTGACTATTTACATCGATATATACACATGTTCATTTTTAATCTTAAATTCTCTTCACTAAGATTCACTAAATAATTTAATTCTTTCATTTTATCGATGACATTTTAATATTGAATACTGCTCCTGCTTCCACATCATCCTGGAACAACGAATCTAATCCGTAAGTACATCTTATATTTATTTATTCCACTGGGTTCGTTAATAAACATTTGTTGATGGTTGAGAGTAAGTTCGTTTTGTTTTTTTCTTTTTTTTATGAATTTGGCACTCGTTGCTCATTCGTCAATGATCAAGTCTCTTATTTACACACCACATGGCCTCATCTATGGCGCAAATATGTATTCATATAAATATATGGCTTCGCATTAGTTTTTAGGTAATTGAAAATTAATCAAGTAGAATGATGAGAATGTGAAGAATTACTCCTGGAGTCTGTTGTTTCCGGTGGCCATTTAACGTCTTGTTTCCAGATTGACCAGACAATGGAACCATTTACACTGACTTCCGATACTCCATTCACTCGTTCACTCGATTTCCTGTCTCCCAGGGGATAATCCCCTCGATTCAATGTTGATCGATTGTTCTTCACCAGAATGTCTCGACGTCCAGCTACGCTTCGGAGCCACTCGAGCAGTCTTCGGCTTTTGGATCAATCATTTCAGTCTCATCCTCGTCGTCCTCTTCGTGATGATAATCACTGGTGTCTTGTTGCCATTTGCTGACGTGATGTGTGTTTTTGTTGCCATTGCCATTTGGATTATTGCCACCACCCGACTGTTGCTGTGCTTTAGCTTCTTCCTCCTGCTGTACTCGCTTGTGCTTCGTTCGACGATTTTGAAACCACACCTTCACCTGCAATTCAAAAAAAAAAAAACAATCCCATTAGTTACACTCTCTTCACTATTTTCAACACTTGTTACTATTTTTATCCTATTCCAGTTGAGCGGAAAATTCATCGAGTTTTACCGTTAAAACATAGCCGCTCCCCTAGTTACACGAAAATCGATAGAAAATACAACGAGAGGAATATTCAATAAAATTATCGATTTTTCTCATGATTTTAAAGGGAAATGTGAGTCCCAGAATATTTACGGAATTGTTAGGGAATTTTTATAAAATTTTTATATTTTCTGAATAATATATTGAATACACCTAAGTGCATGGATAAACTGGAACATGGAAAATATATTTTTCAATTTACAATTTTCCAGAAATTCATATCAAAATTCAATGCGATAGAAATTTTTTGAAAGTTCATACATAATTGCGATTAATTAATCCCCCATTCTTTCGGAGGATTTATTCTCCAATTCTGGATAGGTAATGTTGAATGTCTGAACTTAAAGAACACAAAACTCTGAATAGAAGTTCTCCTGGTCTCATAACACCCTTGAAAGCATCCCTAAACGCAGTATCCGGTTACAGTATACCATTCACTCGCATCACACACCGCATTGAAAAATAAAAGCATATCCCATCCACCATTGTGAAAGAATTGACTCCACTGGGTGACGGTTATTCTTTTCATGAAAAAAGGGGTGTGGATGCAGGGGAGAACCATTTTCGAATCCTATCGACGCGTAAAATCGCCATTGTACCCCTCAACACTCGGGGAGGCGAAATGTTTGGATAACTCGTTCAGGTTTCGAACTAGGAAACATTTTGACGGGTGTAAAAAGACGAGGCTACCTCAACAAATGCCTCCACAATCGATCCAGCCTATTTGCAACTGAAAAATTTATATTTTTTTCAAAATTCCCAATAAAATTGAGCATTGCCGCATATAATTATTGGTATATATATATGTACATACCAATAATTATAAATATATACATTTTCCGTGGAAGAACCTTGAAAGTAAATCCAATTATAATAATTTGTTTATTATTAATGCAACGTTTTTTAAAACAGAATTCTAAGTGTTGGGGTCCAGCACTTTAAATGTTTAAAAAAAAAAATTACAATTATGATAGGATGGGAGAATGAATTTAATTTTTTCATTTTCAATAATAATAATAATTTTTTGATTATATTCGTATTTTATACGTGATACGTATTCACCGCAGGATAAATTACCGAAGAAAAACGTTTAATTTTTTAGTGAAGACAGAACTCACTCTTTTATTATAAAAAATTCTTTGAAATATCTCGCCTATTCGATTGACATCTATAATCGATCTATAATCGATAACTGATTAATACGAATCAATCTCAGTAATTTTCAAGATTAATTTAAAAAAAATATTGGTGAAATACTTTAGAGGGTAAAACCTGATGGCCTTAATCGAGTTCTACCCCCATTTGAGTCGTAATCATCCCCTCGAAAGCCGGTTGTCACGGTAACGCAAACCCCTGGGGCGTATCAGAGTGAAGCTGTAACCAATCCCAGCGGATCAACTCCCATCATGTTCTCTCATAAATTAAAGTAACACAAAAAAAAAAGTTAAACTAAATGATGTTTTTCCCAGTGATTTTTCGGATTTCCTTTTTTTGCGGGGGCTGATGAGAGATATGGAAGAGTCGGCGGATCGGATAATTGAAAGCCCATTGCCCACTTACTGGTGGCAACAGAAGTGGTTTTAAGTGACAGTTGTACCTTACAGGTAAATGGTGAGTGTGAACGTCAGACATTGAACGCGTTCCCATAAGGAGGGAGTCGAGGACAGGAATAACCAAAACGGGACGATTCATAGATCGTATATTTACCATCTGGCCACTACCATTCCATTTTGCATAGATATTCCATTGTCGCAAATGAAAATACAATGAATATATCGTCAATTATATTTTTTGGCAATATCAAAACGATATTCTGTCATTCTACAAAATTTATTTCATATATCGAGAAGATATTTCCCAAAATCGATAATCGATTCTCTCTTTGAAGTTTCACGTAAAAAATTTATTGTAATTGTTGATTATAGTTGTTAAAAACAAATTATTTGAATTTGTCAGAAATTCGAATGATCACTAACCCATGAGGAATTCAATTAAAAAAAAAGTTTTTATAATTGATTCAAGTATTTTTTTCGTGAATGATTAATTATATTAATTATTAATTATTACAAAGACAAAAGTGTAAAAGAGTGAGAAAATAAAAAGAATGTTTGATGGTGTATGAGAAATTGATCAGAAATATGGAGAACAATTTTCTTTTCAGGGGAAAAATTGCCGGACTGCACACAAATACGGAGAAATCAAGCGTCAATGTGGAGACGGGGAAAAAAAAATAGAAACATTACGAGAAGTTGAAACAATGAAAATGGAGGATGAAATAAAGTTTGATTGGTCGGATCAATGGACTAATCCCCAGGATTTTCACCGGTCCACGATCACAAAAGCTTTTTTAATCCCCCGGCGACGGATATGCGAGTTAAATAAACCCAGCGATATTATTTTTCGATCCCCGTACGCGTTTAATAACGATCACACAAATTTCTGGTGGGGGTAGTTGAAATCTCGTGCGTACCAACGGCTTGAAAAATAACGCAGTGACAAAGCCGTACCCACACGAAAGTGGCCTCGCCCATATTAAGTCCGCGATCAGCCTCTGGCTGTGTTTTTTTAGGATGAAATTGACCATGTATTGACGCAGTCCCAGTACACGATCACAATCTTTGATCTATCATCTGGGGAATTGGATATTTTCATTCCCTCATAAAGAACTATCAAAAATATGGCATCAGGCTGTCTGGACAGGTTTTTAGTCACCGATCCTCCCGATAACGTTAATTAATTGGAGAAATTGAGATAAAATAACGAGAATTGAATTTGTTATTCGTCGATCCACTGATAGACTTCTATCGGTCATCCCATAAAAATTCGTGTCAAATGGAATGTACAGGGATCATTGAGGTTCTTATCTCCTCCAGAATTAATCCCACAAACTTTTTATTCTCGAATTGACTACCCCAGACCTCGAGTGTACCGTATAAAAATTTTACTTCATTCTGTGACTTTGTCATCTCAAATTGAGATATTTGAAAGTCTCGGTGGGAAACTTTCAAATAACTCAAAGGTGTGGGAAAGTCTTGAATTGAAAGTCTTCCGGAAGTTTTGATTTGATAATCTTATTCCAGCCTGAACTATCCATTTTTCCAGTAAATTATTCTTATAAAATTATATGAAAAATCATCCTAGTTGCTAAATCGGAAACACCGCCATTGAAATTAATATTGAAAATAAATATCAATAATATCGATATCCTATAATGGCTATAATAACTACAGTTATCTCAACTATTATTAATATTATTATTAATTAATATTATTAACTATTATTAATAACTACAGTTATCTCAACTATTATTTATGATTAATCCCTGTTTCGTAACAATGATATAGTGATAATAAATCTAGTTACGATAACTACATAATATACAATGAAAAATTGCGGTTGTCTAGCTAATATTGTACTGGGTGTAGGCAATTTTTCTGAGACAAGAGGAATAAGGAATAAGGAATAAGGAAGAAGGCAGAAGGATATTATGCACGCAAAGAAGCGACGGTGACGCGCCAGCAAAAGCGTGACAAGAAAATCAAGACAGTAACGCACGCGACTCCATGATTTTTCCTGTTTCCCCTCTGATCATCCACTCTAATCAATCAAAACTCACCTATCACACAAAAACACAACAACTAATTAACCAATTTAATCACAATCACCCTGAAATATAATAAACAACTGGCGTCATCCCGAATGACGCATTATGACACCAAACATACATAACGTGAAATCTCAATTTATACTTTATTCAAAGTGTCGCGACAACCACCGTCTCATTATGCACAAGGAATCGTCTACGCGACCTGCATAATATGCAAACATCCCTACCCATTACCGTACGTGGACAGTGTAATGGGTCCGCGAGTTTGTCCAGCTTTAGCAAGCCAGGAAGAAGCGGATATCGCCAAGACGCGTCAGGTGATTCAACGACACACCTAATGATCAATTTCAATCATCAACTACCTCCAATTAAAAATCCAACACCTCATTTTACCATGCGATTACCATAACTCACGTCGAATAATCTCATCTGATCTGCCCAATTATCGAAACTATTTCCCATCAATCGAATTCACTACCATTCTCATCTTTCACAAGTGCACAACTCAAATGTCAGCAATCATTATTTATTAATATAAAACTCCATTGCGCGGTCGAGTAATATACGAGAGTAATTACTAAATAATTAATAAATAATTAATAATTAATAATTGAGAACCACAATATTTACTATTTTCCTCCCATCTCAATACTCAATATTTAAATATTCCGGAATTAACAATTAAAAACCGTTTAATTAGCTTTTTGTAATTATTTATGTTTATCGGTGAGAGGCTAAAATATAATTAGTATTTAATGTTTACTGAACACTTGATGAGTGTAATTGGATTTAATAATTTAGAAGGATATAAAACATGTGATTATTCGATTTTAAGAATAATCTCTTATCACGATATGTTTATCACTAATTTTTACACAAGTGTCAATGGATTCCGTTAGACAGTAAATTCAGAGGAATCCCAAAGTGTTGAGCAGCCGGAGGGTAAAAATTGGCGAATCGACTTGAGTAATCCATTCTGATCTAACCAATTATCGAAACAATTTGCCCTCAATCAAATCTCCTCGATTACCATTCACATCTTTCACACGTGCAAATGTAATTCAAATGTCAAGAATCATTATTTATGAATATACAGTTGCGCGTTGCATAATTAACGGCTAATTTGATGGAAGGAGAGTGTGGAGGGTAATTTCTACGAAATTTTCGTTACACTAATTGGCAAAAGGTCAGAGTATCGAGTAATTTTGCACACGTAAGCATCACTAACACGAGTTTACGAATAAACCGGTGGAATAGTCCTGTTTTGGTTGTGTTAGGGTAGAATACGTGTGTCCTTAAACCCAGGCCACGATAAGGCACGATTTAAACCGATGATTTACGCATCGTACAAAATATGCCCCGTACCTGCGACATGTTGGGAAATTCAGTGTGTATTATGTATGTGGATGAGTGTGTACACTTGTACACTTATAACGATCGTTTCAAGAAGCGGAGAGAGACTATTCAACGAGCGTAAACCGAGTCGAAACGACGACACTCAAACTACTTGATTTATACACCGTACATATTCTTCAGTTCCTCTCGCATTGCTAATTCGTGTAATCACCTTATTCATCGGCTTTTTATTGTTTTAACAAACTTTTTTTTTTTCGTTCGTCTTGTGGGTGACGCCGATTTTTTATCAATCGGGATCCATCATCGAGATCCATCATCATTTGTGTGGTAAATAATTGCGGCATTGGGAAAAACAATCATTGCTGGCATTTCATTCAACTTTTTAATTTTATTGATTATATCCTTGGAAAATTTCAGGGCACCACACCATGACGCGCATCTTCATCTTCAGCGACAGGGCGACAGAATGTGATTATATATTTTTTAGTAATGAACATCCCCAGAAATAAACTTGAATATATTTAACAAGTATATTTTATACTTTGAGTATTTTTTTTTGTGGATGACCGGTGTAAGATAATGATGAATTATTTGCATTGCGTATTTTTATTATTTTTATTATTTTTATTATATTCGAATATTTAATAAAAATTTTTCAATATTTTTGATGATGAGGAATTGGAATATTTTGGAATTCTAATAATTAAATAGATTAAATTGGTTTGTTGATTGCGGTAATAAATAGTTTTATGGTAATTGATGGTAATTACATCGGATAAATGTGTGTGAAGCTGAACCGAGTCTAGTTCGTTCTCCGAAATGTGTGTCCAAAGCTTCAATGATTCAATAACTTCATTGCTGGCTAAAGGAAAAATCCAAGAAGTTCCCTCCGATCATCTGAATCGTCTCACTCGATTGAGAATTTATGAAAAACTAATTGCTTCACGACAAGGTGATTGTCGTAATATTTTTATTTACGCAATTTTGATCATTCCAATCACTTTCCGCCAGACTTTTTTGCCAGCTCAATTTTTTTCCATTTCGCGATCCATAATCATTTGCATGATAATTAATTACCACGCCGTGAAAAACAATTATAGACATGGTCGGATTAACTGTAATTAGATTTCATGAGGGATTAGTAATCTAACAGTCGCTGTAATTCCATTAATTAACAGTGAACTCGGTCTAGTTCGTCCGGTGTAGTTGTTGCATTTAAAGTGTGTCAACGACTTGTGCGAGTATTAAAGAAATAATTCAATAAAATTTCCCGCCATTTGCGATAAATCGCCGATTGATATCCAATTGATCGAGAATAAAAGGCTGTTATTCACGTGTGTAAGGCACGTTATAGTGCACCATTGTCCCACCTGTTTGGCTACCTATTCATGCCATTATCTTTCAATTTGCCTCTTTTGTTCGTTAAGTGGTTGATTCCGCTTTGTGCGTTATTACGTAATCCAATTATATGTTGGTTTATTCAATGGAGCAGGAGTTTCTTAACGGATTTTCACTGATAACACTGGATTAATTTCAATCGGTCGCGTATACCTTGCGTTTGGATTTTATGGTAATGAAAGTGCATTAACATTTGGTCATCATGGACAAAAAATTCTCACCTGTGTTTCCGTTAATGAGAGCGCCTGAGCAAGCTGTTTCCTCTCAGCTCCAACCACGTAATGGTTCTTCTCAAATGCATGCTCGAGTTTCAATAATTGACTTGGGCTGAATGCTGTTCTTATTCTCTTCGGCTTTCTGAAGGGTTGGAGAAGGAAGCCTGGGATGTCTGGACCTGTACAACAAATTACCAACACACACTTCATTATTTTTGTTTAATTTTTCAATTTATTCAATTTATTTAATTTTACGGATAAACCGATAATTTTTCACAGCACGCAGAGAAGTTTTCAGGTGAAATAATCTTTCAGGTAAAAAATTTCTGCCAATCTGGGGAAAATGGGATTGAGAATAATTGTGTGGAACTGTTATAAAATTTTTATTGGAATTCTCTGGGAAAAATTTAGATATTTTGAATATTTTGAGTTTCGTTATTTTAACTGAATATTTCTCGCCGTGAATTCTGTTGGAAATTCTAGAGAATTTTGGTAGTGAACAACTAAATATTCCTCGAATTTTTCAATCGATTATTTCCAAAAATCAAAAAAGAATTAAGGTTTTTTCTTGGATATTAAAGGAGATACCGAAATTTGTGTAATAACCTTTTTTGTAGCCCTGAATTACCTCTACAAAAGAGGTTCAAACCAAAATATCGCTATCTCCTCTAGATTCCCAGATTTTCAATAAAAACTAAACAATAATGCAAATCTGCTTCAACCGATTCGATCAGTGACAGAATTAACAAATTAATTATCACTAAACCAATCAAACTAAGCAATACCACATTACCCCCGATTACCATGAGTTACCCTCGTTATCTGAGAAAATAAACGCGGTCTCCAACAGATAGTTGAAAATTTTACGAACTACAGATGTGATCGTCTATTTCCTGACTTGTTTTTAAAAAAACTCAGTATCAGACTCTCGAATTCCGTTATGTGGCAGCAGAAATTCGCAACCATAAACTCGAACTTCAACCGATCCAATATTTCAGATAGACGAGAGAGATTTTCAGCGGCAATTTTTAGTTTTCCCTCGGCATTATCCTCTTTTTTTTTTTGTTAAAAGTTAAACATACAAAGGGCGGGCGCAGTAAAGATAAGCATAAACTCACTCGTGTTATATTGTAAGGCTATATACCTAATTGAGTATTCTCTACCTCGAAAGGCGCCTGTCGATGGTATAACGATACATAGGTTGTGCACCAACGCCGGAAGTCGTTCAAGATACTAGGCACTGGGTAATAACGGAAAAAAGGAGACGATAAATGCGCGCGCCCACGAGGTTGCACAAAATGTGAATACAATGTGTGTCTTGGTAATTACTCGATAAATATGGAAAAAAAGGAAACGACCAGTGGAGGATAAAAAGAGAGAAAATAAAAAAGGGACTTGGACGACTTTCTTCTCCCTTTTCACTTCAACACCCAATACAATTATACCAAGACGTTCAAAAGAGGGCGCTTTGAGCAGCTGACGAGACTGGTCTCAACCCTCCGGGCGACGCGAAATTACTCGAAAATAATCCTAAATGGTCGACGTATCAAATTATCCCCTCTTGCTACGGGGGAAATTAAAAAGAATGAGGTGGAAACCCTGAGAATTCCCTTTCGAAACCCCTCGCACCGTTTTCACCGCCCGGTATTGCCCCTAATGTACTTTTAATTAATCGTTTCGCTGTTGACTGTTACGATTATTTTTCAGAAATATCTCAACCATTACTCTACCTCCACCCTCTTTACCCTCTTTACCCTCTTTACCCTCATTTATCCCCTCTGTTCCCCCTCCCCCGTCCTCCCGTTCATTTCTGCCGGACGAGCGAATGGTAATTAGTGTTATTATGACGCGGACTGGTATCGTAATGCCGCGGCGATTTACTTCGCGAATTGCAGAGGGAAAAATCGCGTGAATACTTTCTCGGGCGATGATCGATTGCAAAAATCAAACGCCGGGGGCTCTCGGGTTTTGCCCTCGTGTACGCGATCCTGATGATACCGAATTTGTTTTTTTGACTGTTTTTTTATAACTAGGGAGGATGAATTATTGTGGAATTTACTCTTGAATCTCTCGTTTTATTATTGGTTATTGGCCGGTGGTTGATGGAGGGTTTGAATTTTAATTTTGAGGGGAATTTTCTGGAAATTTCTGTCGCTGTCATCTGAATTTTCAATCGAGTGAGTTCACATTCTCTTTCATTTAGAAACGATTGATAAATCAAGAAAATTGGATTTTTCAAGGGGAATGAAATGTTGGAATGATGAATTGAAATTTCCAAACTTAAATCGCAAGTTCTGGGAATTATTGCCTGAAATTCCCACATTCTCACGGTTTTTCAGTCATATGGACCGGAAAATTAAGAATCACCAGAATATTTAAGAAATCAACGGATTCGTCAATAAAAATGTCTGCATAAACATCATATCACTTTATTTATTTAAAAATTCAAATTCTTCACTTGAAGTAAACATGTAAAATCAACCAGTAGTTAATAAAAAAGTTCTAATTCCAAAAAAAGTCAGTTTCCTCTCATCCCGAAGATCTTAAATCGGTATCTGGATCGGTGATGAAAAAAATGAGTTCCCGTTTATTTTCCGTCATAAAGCGTTTTATTCACTGCGAAGCGACTGTACGTGAAACCCGCCATGATAGATAAATAAATAAATAAATAAATTCGGGTAAATGTCCAGAGCAACAGAAATATTCTCGGATGGTATCTCTGGTTGCCTCTGGTGGGGCAGACATTTACTCGTCATTATGAAACTTTCTCTCCAAAAAACTGTAATATGTATTACAATGCCCACGTAAAAATTCCTATCACATAAATTTCCCTATAAATTATTCGGCAAAAATTGAATGCCATGTAAATTCTCCGGCTGAACAACGCGATCCAACACGAAACCTGACACCCGGTCATGAAGACCCTTTGAAGACTCTTTGATTGGACAATATAGACTAGCATAAAAAAAGAAAGAAAAACCGAGAAATGCTCATACCCTGTCAAAAAGTCAGTGGCTAAAAAACCGGGGAAAAATAGAATTTTGTGAAGTGCCGTGAAGAGGATACGGGGCGGGACAATGAGGCAACCTGGGGTCTTCAAAAGAAAAAATTGTGCGTGAAACAGCTTCGACAATGGGAGAGCACCACGTGAAAATGAAAAAAAGAAAAAAAAATGTAATGTGATGGAGAGACGGGCAGAAGTGGACGTCATGTGGTGCGTGTCCAGGGGTAAACGACAAGACACTGTGGGACAATGGAGATTAACACGCTTTGTTATTGATGATGATGTCTCGTTGATACTGATGGGAGTTATCCCTCTCATTCCTTGTCTCATTTTTTCATTCCTCAATCACCCTCCAATCCCTTGCATCCAATTATCCCCTTCCACGAATAAACAATGTTTCTTTATAAATCCATATTGCAAACAATTACGAAATTCACGAGTCAAGTGATAAAGCCCAGTTTGATCATTCAGTTTTCAATGAATATCTCGGGATCTAAAGGAGATAGTCAAGTTTTCATTAGAAACTTTTTTGTGCAACCAATTGAGTACTACAACAAATGTTATTACAAAAATTCCGATATCTTGTGTAGAATCTCAGATATTCCGCAAAAACTCAACTGAGAGATTAGTGAACTCAATAGTAACGGTTTAAAATCTCTTCCAAAAATCCTCAATTAATTTTTATGTTTACGAATTAGTTAATCGTTAATAAATTTAATTGGGGCAAGTATTTTTCAACAGCGTAAACTACATTCACAAATAGTAACCAATGTCACACTCCAGAGTGTTGACGACACTTGCCCTCGACCACTCGAACACAAAACAATTATCAACGCCTAGTCCTCGACTTATCGAGTGACAACCCAACGCCTATCATACAAGAGGTCATTAACTAATAGCCACAATTATTCTTCTCACCCCACAACACTGCTCGACTTATCGTGTTGCGCATGAATGTTTAACAATTAAATTAGATAATTATTGCATCGTTTAGACTTATTTACTTGACAGTGTAGGAATCCCCCGCGAAAAAAATCCCCAAACGGTTATCGTTCAGCGATATAATTAAACCCAAAGAAATTTCTGAATTTAATGAACATTAAATACCGTAATTAGCCGAAAAATTTCATAGAGCGAGTAATGGAGGGCGGAGACGTGAAGGAATAATCAATCCATGGGGAATAGACTGCTTACAACAGCGAGAAGAGGAAGCAATTACAATCAGTTCGTTATCAAGACTAAGGGATTAATAAACGCGGAAGAGGGAAACACGGGGTTAATGCCTCCGGGAGAGTCTATATCAGCACGCGATGTCGAGTCAGTACACGATGATTAAACCAGCGAACAACTGAGAAATATATGATAAAGAGTGAATCAAGTCGCTTGGGTCAGATGTGCTTAATACGTACATTACAAAATCATCAATTACGAAACGTTGCGTCACGTTCAATGCCTTACGATATGATACGCAAACAACCCAGATTACACCATTATTAATCACCATGACAATTTAGGATTCATTAGACTCATTAACCAGGGAGTGTCTAATGTTGTTACAATTATTTTTATCGTCTGTTGATCAATTTTCCGTCAGCTACTATTTAATTATAGATCAAATTCGTGGTAATTGATAACTGGAGTGCAGTCTCATGGGAATTTGTTCAAGTCGAAGTGTCGAGTTAAAATTTAAATTAAAAATTATCTTCTCGGATTGCGACATTCGACTCGACATCCGATTTAAGGGGATGACTTGGGGTGAATGAATGAATTGAATGAATGATCAGACAGCGAGAATCAAGTCTATCACCACTTGAATTCACTCAGACCAAGGAAAAACTGGACTCGACATGATTCGGGACAAGTTCGACTTGATTCAAGTCATCAATTCGCTTCGAATAAAAAATAATCCCCATTTTAATTAAAAAGAAAATGCGATTTGAGCTCGCGAATTGACTTGAAACAAGTCGGACAACGACTTGACTTGATTCTTTCCTTCGATAGTGACTAGTAGCTAGCAAATAAAAGTTCAACTTACCAGCGGGAAATCTGTGAGGAAAGAGTCTTCCGTGTCTGGAGAGTAGCCAGGGAAACAGAGGATAACTGTCTCTCGGTGGTTGATGAGGATGAGGTGGTGGATGTGGTCCAGGTGCTCCAGCATGTCCATAAGGACTGTGCGGTGGACCATGTGGAGATCCGCCATGATGGGCCTGAAGGGCGACAGCGAGATTTGAGGCCTGAAAGTGTTGAGCCGCTGCCAAATTGGCAGCCAATGCAAATTGCTGCGTGTGATACTCGGTTTGACCGGGCTGAGGTGCCGCTGGATGAGCTGGCAAGCCATAGAGGGCCTTAATCTGTTCGCTGGCGACGGCAGCAGCGGTCGCGGCATTCGGCGGTGGTCCCAGGTAATTGGGACTCGGCCTGACAACCCCCGGCGGCGGTTGATGATGCCCCGGTGAGTCGCCGTGCGATATTCTGTGAGGTGGACTTGGACTGTTATTAGGTGTCGATGCACCACTGTGACTCCGCGTTCTACCGTAATCCATGTGACTCGTCAACGACTGGACATGATGATGACTCCTTTGAATTTGTCCATTGTGTCTCGACACCGGATAAGACTCGATCGATGAACTCCGCGACAGTGGCCTGTCGGATCCCTCCGAATGGGCACCTGGTGATCTTACCACTCGTCTCGACGATCTCGGTGACGATGAGCCCTCGACCTCCGTGGGACTCCCATCCCGATCCATCTCCACTCTCTCATGAAGTCTCTCCAGTCTGTCATCACGACCACCACCCACTATCGAGTCTATACTGAAACCAATTTTTGGTTTCGAGGGTACCGGGACTATTGGCGTCGGTGCGAGCGGCATCATCGTACGCTCAAAAATCACTTCACCACTTGAAAATTTTAAAAACCCCCTAATTGGCGCCACTCAGTACCGTATCTCCCCAACACTAACTACTGGCATCCCAGCAAACTTATCCGATCGTTGTACCACATATTCGCACATTAAATCCAATATATCATCGATTTCATCGATAATCAATAAAATCACTTGTCACTGATCACGAATTTTACTCGATAATTCTCTAATTAATGGAAAATAACAAAAACAAAAACAAGGAAAAATAATCACGATTGTTTAGCCGAACCCTGAGAAACGGGAAAGCAACCGGGTAGGATGTTTCTTGTCTGAGCTCTTGCTAGTGTTTGAGGGGAAAATTACCCGGCTAAACGAGTCCGGCCCGTGCTCCCGTCCCTACCAATGGCCGTGGAGGTGGGGGAAGAGTGATGTTGTACCAGAGGGGCCTTTTACCCCCTCTCCGGGTAATACCTCAACTCAATTAGATGGGATGGTGGGAGCGCTGATCCGCCCGGGACTACCCACTAGATGGGCGGGGCCTGCCAACACCCGACGTCATGTGGAGGGGCGGTCGCTCCTCGGGCTCGTCCCATTGGTGGGGAGACCCCTCACTCAGCGGTAGCGGGGCGAAAGGGGAGCTTTTAGTCACCGATGGGCGTTAAACTCACGTTTTTGTCGTACGATTAAAATGAGACGTTTAATTAATACGTCTGACGGAATGAGGGGATTCCTGGTGGGATTCCTGGTGGGGAGACAATTGCACCCACGCCTGACTCTTCAGTAGGTTTTCTACTGGTGGGTCAACGCCTCGTCAGATCCTGGAGATTATTCCTCTGGGCCTCTGGTTCAGGCCTTTTTCCAGGATTTTTCAGAGATTTTTCAGAGATTTTTCAGGGCTTTTCCAGGGCTTTTTCCGGGCCTGGAACAAGAATTTATATTTTTCGAATCGGTGATTGTTTATTCTGATGCGTGAGAATTTTATGGGGTGAGAAGGGGTGGGTGGAAGGATGATGAGGGGGAAATGAGGGAGTTTTGGGGATTATTGTGAAATGGGTGAGGAATCGTGGAGTCCAGGAGCATCTCAGCTTCCTTTAACGGATGATGGGGTGGGAGATTCAAACATGGCGACTGTGCACACATTGGCGGCAAAGACCGCAGGACCAATGCGCGAGCATCGAGCACGCCCGTTTCCCCGTCATTTAACGTCTTACCCCTCTCTCCCCCCTACAACTCGCTTCTTAACCCTCTTCGACACCATCCGAGGTTGCATCTTCTCGGGGAAAAAGGGCAACGATTTCATTCAATCGATGTAACGAGCTGGAAAAAAGAACGGTTGTGCGCAAGTGTCGTTACGTCTTTATTGCCGTAATTTCAGGATTTCTTCGGGAGGGATTAGGAGCCGTGGTGGGGATCACAATTAATGATTCAATTCGATTTGCTATAGGGTGGGGGGAAGGGGGGCACTTTGTTGTCGGAATGAGCAACGAGCCGACTCGGACGTTGTTACGCGTGTTTGGACGGACAATGGCACACGCGCTGTCTATTTATTACTGCTTCACTCTGGTACAACAAGGGTTTGGTTACTGAGGCATTGGATTGGAGGAAAATAATGGGTTTAATCAAGCCGTTTATCTCGAGTTGTTTCTCAGCTTGTCGGAGTGGGAGACTGCGTTGGGACTAATTCGGGAATTGTGGTCTCAGAGTTGTCAGGGGTTTATGAATATGCAGGGTAAAGAATTGTTTAGAATAATTGATTGTTTATAAAAGTCTGGGTTAGACAATGGGGAAGGACAGGAAGTACCAG